GAATTTTCAGCATTACTCCAGTCTTCAGTGTCACATGATCCTTCAGGAATTATTCTAATTATAATATGCTGATTTGCTTCAAAAGAAATAGTTATTTTACGGTTGAAATCAGTTGTGCAGCTTAATATTTATCTGGAAATTGTGATACATATTTTTCTGGTTCTTTGATGAATAGAAAGTTCAAAATAACAGCATTTATCTGAAATGTTGATCTTTTGTGTCATTATAAATGCCTTTACTGCTACTTTTGATCAATTTAATACATCCTTCAATTTTTTTTTTAATAGTAGTGTACTTGATTTTGAGACTGATGCAAGTTTAGAAATGCATGATTTATTAGTGTCTTACTGGATTCTTGATTTCACTACTAATTTAACATGTAAGATGCTTGCTCACCCACTGTAGTGACAGAAGACACTGGGGTGTAGAGAGAGGAGCCTGAGGTAGTGGGGTATCCAGGGCCTACTGCAGGATAAGGGTAGCCCTGAAATCCACTGGCAGACAGAAAGAAAGAAAATATATATAGTCAAATTTCATTGGCATCTACACAGCAAGGTTTAATGCAATGACACATACCTAACAATTTGTCCCATCTCTTTATATGCACTTTAGACACAGCAGTCTGTGTTTACATTAATCACGTGTCACAAGCCTGTTAGTGATCTAGCGTAGTTAGAACTTTTTATCAGTAGTAAACAAGTTGCTAAACGTCACCAAAAATGACATTATTTTACACGTCCTATATCTTCGAAATATCTACAAAAAAGTACAAGAATGCAATTATTTTTTCAAAGAAGGAAATACGATTCTATTCATGATTCATTACAGGAACTCTAATGTATTCCTTACCCTTGCATGAGCACCTCCGAGCGGCGATTTCAAACTAGATCTAGCCTGATTATATTCTGGTTAAGCCTTCATTCAAAACAAAAGACTGAATGCATCAGTGCACATCTATTTAGAAAATGTATTGTGAATGAAAGACACGTTTGTTCTTTTCCTCCTATTCTCTTCTGGAAGTACTGGAGATGTTCACTCAAACCATGTATTATGCAGGAGTTTGCTTATTCAGCTTAATAATAAATTCCTTCACATTGTTTCATGTGTGCACAAAACTTGCTTTGAGTGTATTGCAATTTTCACGAGTTTGTCAGTAACTTATGTTGCTTTTACCTGTGTGTATTTTGATTTACAGTATGCAGCTTGGTATAAAAAACAAATGTCCTTTGCAGAAAAATGCATGCTTGACATTTCTCAACTGCTTGTTATCTAAGAGCTACAGTATTACATGCACAGATATAAAAGAACAACAATCATGAGATATTGTGCCATAAGAGGAGAATTGGATACGAGTGTTTAGACATAGGTCAAATGAGATATCAGATAAGTATTGGATTTAGAACCACATATGAAAGGACGCCAAAATCCTATGTTTTTTGCTGTCTAAATGCATGTAACAAGATCTGATCTGTGGCAGATGTCTGAGAAATACACTACCATTCAAAAGTGAAGCCTTAAGCTCACTAATGCTGCATTTATTTAACAAGAATACTGTAAAACAGTCATTTTTGATATTATTACAATTTAAAATAAATGTATTTATATTTTAATATATTTTATGTTAATATATATGTTGTATATATTTTACAACATTATATTATGTTGGCAAAGCTGAATTTTCAGCAGTCATTACATCAGTCTTAGTGTCACATGATCCTTCAGAAAACATTCTAATATGCCGATTTGCCGCTCAAGAAACGTCTTAATATTATCAATGTTGAAAACGGCTATGCTGCTTAATATTTTTTTTTAGAAACTGTGATACATTTTTTCAGAATTCTTTGATGAATAGATAGTTCAAAAACAGCATTTATTTTAACTAGAATTATCAAAAACACTATAAATGTCTTTGTTGTCACTTTTGATAAATTTAATGTATCCTTGCTGAATAAAAGTATTAATTTCTTTTAGAGATAAAAACATACTTCTTTTGAATGGTAGTGTATATATGTAGGAATTGGTTGATTGGCACACTGAAAGCACTTACCCTGGATTGGCAGAGTGACCCTGACCATAAGGCAACCCTGGTGTGCTTGGCATGTAAGAAGCTGGAAAAACATTGAATTGTATGATTACTGCTAATTCCCAAAGTCAAAATGCTCTTTCAAAATGTTACATAAATCTTAAAATACGTTTTCTTTTAGATCAGACATAAGTCAAACATAAGTCTACACTCACTGTTAGGTGGGCCTGCTGCTGGGAATGCTGGGTAAGTTGCCTGAGTGGTGGGCCGTGCGAAAACAGGTGGTTCTTCTCCAAACACTACAATCATCACCTGGATCAGTCCTAACAATTCAGACTGGGGCTAAAATAGACAAAAACAAACAAAAAGTAGGTTTATGTCCTCCTAATTTAAACATACAAAGATAAAAAGGAAAAAAAAGACACTCACAGGTTTCCATTCATGCAGGTATGGGAGGTAAATCTTTCCATTGGCATCAACGTGTTTCCCTGTTTTTATCATCATGGCACTTGTGGGTTTGACAAAACAGATGGGAGGGTTGTAGGGATATGTGTCTAGAAGCCACAGGCAGATGGGAATGTTGTACACATTTCCTATAGAAGAGGAATATATTAAATAGGGAAAAGGGTCCAACATAAAGAAATGACTCATCTGGATACAGCTGGATTGCTAAATAGGTCTGAGGAGTGGAGAAACTCAAACGCTTCTTGAAAGCAGTGCTCTCTGTACCTCGGTAGCTTACTGGCACCGTTCCTGCGAGACTCAATAGCTCTTTGGTGGAGCCATCATTGAACACTGAAATAAAGAAAACAAAATGAGTGCAGGGCAACACATAATGCATACCTGTATATTTACTATACAAATGGAACTGGTGTCATTCAGAAAAATCAGAGGATTAAACAAAACATTTACACAGCTTGCGGCAGAATTTATTCATAACACAAAAAAATACTTAAAGTATCATC